AGGACTAGATGTAAATGAATTACACTACCCTGATGAGAAACAGTCGGCTTCCTTCGAGATATTTCCAGCATTTCCCGCTCATATTCTTCGCAACCCTCCTTTTTGAAGGCCTGTTTCAATTCTTCATGCCTGGTTTCATCGCTGACCAATGTTGCGCTTTCATTGGATGAGGGGATTGCACTATGTTGAAGGAAGGCTATAGCACTTTCTTCAGCAGCAGTGAAGTTTGAACCAGTTCAGTGAGGCACTGGGAATGCTAAAAATAACGGAATAAAATTAATGATGGACACAAATTAATGCATTAAGAAAACTGTACACAATACAGTAATTTAAATTATGCACATAAAAAAATAAGATGCAAAAATAAGCATTTCGATTACTGATAGGAATGCAATCTATCTAAGTATAAACTAAATCTTCCCTTCTGGTGAAATGGTAGGTTCATATAATTTTTGGCAAGTGTCCTCTTCGGCTCACATGCTAGATTTTTGATTAAGTTCATCATGTTTCTTTGAGAATTAATAATTAGTCATATTATCCTTATGCAGGTTGGCCATAGGATTCAAGTAACATTATAGTAGTTGCCACTACTTGGCAAAATTACCATTTGAATATTTTCACATACTCTCTCAACTGTCGCAGTGCCTGAAAACAATGAAGAACATATACATACGATTTTCTTCACTGAAATATCGCTGTGTTACTGGCGCTATATCAATCGAAAATGATGTTTAATAGCTGATCTGTTTTAATGAACGTCACTTTCAGATGGAAGATGACTGCCCACAAGGCAACGACGAAACGCGCATATTTGTGTTGACCAGTTTAGGCGACCGCAAGCTGCGTGAAGTGTTGTGCATCTTATGTCGAGCACACTTACTTGTCTACGATCGTTACCCATTGATAGATGGCACATTTTTTCTTTCGCCTGTGAATCACGGAGACTCCGGAATCCACGTACGTACTGTTCCGTTTTTATTACTCTGACTTAGCAGACATTTTTCTGTATTTATGTTTAAACTTGTGTAAGATGTTTTTGTTGCAGACAAGCATTCAGTTGTTGTAGCTGTTGCTGAAGATTGATATGGTTCTCTTGGAATAAGCAGTGAACTTCCTAAGCTGGCCACACCGATAGGAATAGTATGCCTTGTTTCGATGTGTCTTTTCAGTTATTCAGCTGGAAAGCAAATGCAAAAGGTATCTAAAAGACGTGAGAATGATGTCTCTCTGGGAATATTTGCGATATCGAAATCGCTTGATATCAAGCCCCGTGAAAATAGAGTTTACAGTCGAAAGCATCATATTCATGTGTGAACAGTCATAGATTTCTGAAACAGCTTTGGAACGAATATAAAAAATATTGCAAAGTCAAATTTTGGTGAGCGAAAATAAATACACAATGAGTATGGTACAACTTGACACGTATAAGGAGGCACAAATGAACATTGGCGTGAAAATTGATTATTTTTGGATAAATTTTCTTTGCTGCTCACAACTGTCTTATTAAGGTAAAATATGACGGCAAGGAGTTGTTCTTAATGGCCGTTTGCATGACATGCTTGCAGAACAGCGAGAGGCTAAGTTGCTTGCGCTGTGGCTCCTCGGACTGGTTCTATGGTGATCGCCTGATCCTCGGAACGATGTACTTGTATGACGTATTGGCAGTTATGCCGTGTTGCCAGCCGCCGTGCTCCAACTGCAAGCGTCCTTTGCCTATTCCTTCGGCATCGTGCAATTTTTCTGATTTAACCGAATCCACCACTTGTCCGAGTTGCGGGACATCTGACTTTCACTTCATAAGGCGTCTTGGTTCCGTTCGCCTCACCGACAGCCCGGTTTCATAAAAGTAGTGCTTTTGCTTGCTTTTTTATTTGTTTCTAGTTATTACCATTTGGTAAACGTGTAGAAAATTTCCGGTGACACTTTTCTGTTATATTTCAGTTCTCAGTGAAAATTATGTTCTTT